ACCCATCCGCAGCCTGCCACACAGCTCTCAATGATACATCTGCACCCGTCGGCACTGTTTTACTTGATGGCGATAAATGCTTAGTGACAGCACCAAAGATCCAACCTACTGGTTAGAAGCTGGATACAGAGCCAGCTGGTAATGGATGAGGACGAGGACTCGTATCATCGAGACAATAGCTGGACACAACAGATACAGTGATCTGCAGCTCTGTGGTGCTCCAACCTCTTTCCAGCATGCAAAGAGAAAGCCAGTGTCCTTCTCTTCCAGTCTGAACACCCACAGTTACCAACTTTCAGGATGCTATGACCAAGGCAGAACACTCTTAATATTTAGTATTTCAAACCAAGCACAAACTGTACGCGTTATGTGCAAGCATTAACCAGGCAGATACTCTGTGACAGCAAATCCATGCAGCTGGACTGCAGCTAAGTAAACGAATGCTTGCTGCATCGGATGCAAGATCACCATCAGATGGTGATTTGGCTCTAGACAAAATAGGTGGACTTCATCAAAACTACCACTTTGGATAATCAACACATTCAATCCCCATCACACTAAGAAGGTGTTTGGATCTGGAAAGACCATCAGTCTAACAAGATCAACCTGTTTAACCTGTTTAGCTTAACAAATAGAACGTGAAGAGGTGACTTGATCACTACCCAAAAACTGAGATGCAGAAGAGGTATTGGATAAAAGAACTCTTCAGCTGAGGAGACAAAGGCACGGAGAGGCAGTGGAGGGAAGGGAAAACTCAACAGTTCCGACAACATCACCATCACTTGGCATTTTTTATCAGATTGGACGTTTGGGTCTTTTCCCTTAACAAATTGAACAGGAATAAATTAAGGGATGTGCTACAGTCTGTTTTTTTGCCATGAGTTAGATCAATGATCCAAATGTTCTTTGCTGGCTTTGCAGTCAATGAATCACTAAATTTGGCCATCCTCACCAGATGGATCAGAACCAGAACCCAAGACACTGCTTCCCTCAAGATTTAATGGAGCTGCTCTCTGGAGCATCTCTGGTAATTTTATTGAAAGTTCCATAATATTTGTTTTTCCCCGAAAGCCCAATTGCAAGATTCAAATGATTTTTTAAGCACCTCAGTTTTTATGAAATCCTTGTGATCACAGAGAAATGCTTGAATGTTCCTAAAAGTTCCAACACCAGAAGACAAATAAAGTGAACTTAAATTGGGGGCGTTCCTTGAGCTATGATTTTGATTTGGCATGGGGGAAGTAGGTTTTCTTCCCAACTTTTTAAAAGCTGGGGTTGGCACTACTGAGACAGTCTTCCTGAAAGCATTCTTGGCAGAGGGGTTTTTATAGTAGGCACAGCTATCTGATTTCTTCCATCTTTTCAGTAATAGTCTGTGACTGTGCTTCTCTGGCTGTTTGGCATTTGCCGGAAAAGATTACGATCAGGAGAATCGATACATTCCATCACAGACGACAAGCAAGGAGGGAAAACATTGCTTGGGGTTGCTAATCAATCAACATCTACAGTTGGGATGGATGGAGTCTTTCTCCTAAGTGCCCCCATATATTTTGGCAAAGATCTTACCAAGAACTCCTCAAGAGCAAGTGCTCCCCCTCCATCTGCAGTGGTGCTCCTGCCAGGTTCCCAGTCCCGTTTCAGCAGTCTCCTGTTTCCTTGCCTTGGAAAGCCTGATTGCAAATCCTAAACAAGTGCTCTGTGATGGGCTGGCTGCCTGCCCAGAGACTGCATCAGAAATTCTGCTTGATGTATCAAACTCCGAGCAAGCAGGGGGAAGGAAGGAAAGCCAAGGGAGGTAAAGAAAGGGTACTGTAGACAACCCCTCTTCCCTGCTTCCCTCTTCCCAGGAGACCAGGGAAACACCAGGCATATTCCCTTCCCTTTGACCTATTCATAGACAGAAGGCTTTACACTACATCTTGCTGGATTTGAACCACAGGAAAACAACAACAACAAGAGCGACCAAGGATGCCAGATGCAGCAGACTCATCAGTCATGTCATACTGTTCTCATCTACTCAGAGACCACATGTCTCATGAGATCTGTCTAGGTCCACCAACCTAGACACATGAGATGTGTCTAGGTCCACACTCCCAAGCCAGACTCTATCAACCATCAGCAGTGTAGGCATTACAGCATTACAGATACTTTGATACTAAGCATCAAACCAACCCCACACATCCCAGCAGAGATCCCGTTCTGTGGGGCGACAGAAGACGTGCTGAGGAAGCTCTGACAAGTGAGGCTCAGGGAACCTTGGGCAGTCCCGCCAGTCAGTATTGTCTACTTGGAGGGCAAAGTGGCTTCACTTTAGAGTCTGCCATATCTGCTGAGCTGTTTAGTCATACTGTGAACTAGTGAATTGTGAATTTAACCATTTTTGGGCAGGCAGGGAAAAGGAAAGGAAGCAGTGTGTTTGGTCAAGGACCCAAAACTTCAGAAACTCCTAGAGGAGTCCCTGGGCAGCACATTCAAGCTAAGGAGACCTGAAGATGCAAGCACTACTCTTCCAAAGCATGGCAGCTAGCAGCTGCAGCACAGAGTTTTCCCAATGACCACATGATATTCAAAGTTTCAATGCAACCTGGAGGTGGCTTTGCATTTGTACTGTCTCACATGGCAACAGAAAAGCGAGAAAACCTTTTCTGTTTTAAGCCAAAAGTGGCATTCACTTTTTATAGGATCTCAAACGTTTTGGTGACAGAAAGACCAGTTTTTAGGCTCCCGAACTGTCAAAGGATCTCAGGGTCGAGAGACATCTGGAAACTGTGCCGGTTGATGTTAGTCGCCTACTATTTCATCCTCGTGCCCTTTTAAATGGAGCTTCTTTTCTCAGTAAGAGTTTGACCCAGAGCACTGAGGAGTCAGTGGAAGAACTCCTACTGACGTCAGAGGGCTCTGCATCATGCCAATGCTATTCTTGCTTACTCCCCGCTATGGCTTCCCTTCATTAGATGTCACAGCACGAGGACGGTCTCTTTCAAAGGCAGAGGGGGGAAAAGGCAGCTAGAGCTGTGCTTTTAAAGCGAGGTTAGTGCAATCTTCACCTTCTCCTGAGGATAAACTTCTGACAGAAAAAACCCTGGGACCATGTTACAAAGCCTGTATCCCATCATAGCCAGCTCTTGCATACAGGTCATCCCTTTCCTGACATGCCTATATGGAATAAAACGTCTCTATGTCCCCCACAAAAAGCTCACTGAGAAGCAAGGGCCTAAACCTAATATTCTCAGCTTCCATCACCAACCAAAAGTGTGATTGCTGTTTTTTGGTGACAGGGTGAAACACGAAGGCTGACCACAGCCAAGTGAGCTAATAAGTAGTCACAAAACAAGATACCATAACAGGACCACATGCAAAAGGAAGAAGAGAGAGAAGAGCAAGGTCCTCAAGCATGCAAGGTCAGGAGTGGAGCCTGGATCTAAGGCAAATCACATCTAGAGCTCAGTCTGGTCACTGGTGGGACATCAGTCCATACTGCTGGGATGGGCCCTGCTCAACTGAAAAAGCAACTCCTGTAACATGTCTCAACCTCCAGAAACAAGAATACTGACCACCGCAAAAAAAAAAAAAAAAAAGGACTAGCAGGAGAGCCAGCGAGATCAGATCCCATCTTCAAGGCCTCTAGGTCAAATTAGTGCAAGGAAATGGGGACAGCGGCAAGAAAGTTCCTCATGGGAAGAAAAAAGCAAGATCAAACAGCAGCAGGGAGGGAGACAGCACTCCATTATGCAGCTGCTGAGAAGAGGAGCCAGTGCCTGTTCAAGGAGGTGGAAAGGGGGTAGATTTTGTTTTTTTCTCAAGGATATCTTTAGGCCCTGATTCACATTGCAAACATAACCTCTGGGTTAAAATCTTTCTGTTTTTCTCCACCTGGCCAAGCCACCAAAGCAGATGACCATAGATTAAATAAAAGACATCATTGCTGATATCTGCCTACGCATCACAGACACCTTCTTCGTGTGACTGGACAACGCTCTGCCTTGTGCAGGCCTGGGGCGGCCAGGGGCCTGCTCCTACTCAGTGGATGAGACCAGCAGCCAGAATTACTCCGTCCCTTTTAGCTTTTTGCCACATATATCACCCAGAGTACTCAGGATCAGCCTGAATCTGCCAAGATGGCTAAGTGCAGGATTCATCTAAAAGGTCAATCACCACAAAGTCCTGCTTCCTGACCACATCCCGTGGCTGGGAACAGTTAGAGGAGGAAGAGTCACAAGGCTGCTGTCCCTTGTGACTAGGGCTGGGCTTTCACTTTGGGGAAGGAGGTTTGCCACTCACCTAGCAGCAGGTTCATGAGGACCTCTTGGCCTGCCAGCGTGCTACTCTTCACCAGGCAGATGAGAGTGCCTGCAATCCAGGGGATCCCATGCCCTGTTATCCCAAGGAGGTTAATCATGGAGCGGGCACCACCCCAGGACGAGGCTTTGTTGGCACACACTCCCAGCCTCTTGGACATGCAGATGTCGATGGCCAGCAGGGAGTTGAAGGCAATTCCTTTGAAGGAGGGGTTGAGCTGCATGCAGTCCTCTTCGGGCAGCTGCTGGGATTGCCTCCGCTCCTTGGGATTGCTGTTCTGGGCACCAGCTGCTCCAGCCTGGCCGCTCTGCTTTCTGCTGGAGCTCCTGCTCTCCTGGTTTCCTTTGAAGGGCTGGTTCAGGGAGAGGAACTCAGCCCTATTGAGGACATTGTTCCTGTCTCTTGCCCTGGACCGCATCTGGGATGCTGGCATTGCAGTCTCTCTCGCTAGATGGAACCTGCTTTTCAAATACCAGGAGGGAGAGAAATCCCTCTTCTCCCTGCAGACAGCTTCCCCCTCTCCCACCCTCAAGAGTTACGAATTTGGGAAGCTAGAAAGGTTCCCCTCTGGTGCAGTTGCCCCAGCACAGCCTGCAGCTGTTAAATATAGAGTAAGGAATGCACATGGCTGTTTACTTCATGGGCCTAGCAAGCTTGGAAGGAAAATTAATGCCAGGCTTGGCAGCCACTCCAGTGCCAGGGAAAAAGGTTAAACAGCCAATAGATTGGAAGAAGAGGAGGGAAATTCTTTGTGCCAAAGGTTGGTTGCTTCTGGCCTGGTCTATTTAAAACTTCCAATTGCTTATGCCCCAGGGTTGCAAGGGAGACTGGGAAATGTAGTTTTTTTCACCATAAGTCACATTTTAATATGTGAGAGTCAGAGCTGGAAGAAATCAGGGTCCTCCACACCTCCCCAGGAAAGGCCAGTATTGCTCCTGTGGCAGGTTGTCCAGCCCAGCTTTAAAATCTCCAAGGACAGGCCTTCCCTGGGGGCTTCCCGCAAGGGGATCTATGCAGATAGGGTCCCCCTGCGTTGTCTGTTCTGCAACAGCTCATCCCCTGTCGGGGCACCCTAGATAATACTTTTCTCTCCACAGCATACATATCTTTCAAGCATTAGCAGTCCCATCCTCTTTCTCCCTTCCTTCCCCCTCAGGGGTACCTTCCGCAGTGTCCTCCAGTGCTAACCCTGTAACCGGGCCCAAGGAGAAGCAGCCCCTGCCTTTTGATTAAAAGAGACACTGCTCTGCTAATGAATGCCCATCCCCCTGCACTGAGCGTGGCCTAAATACTGCACATGTTTCTGCCGTGTCAGCCAGCATCACAGATCCCACAGTGAAAGCAGGGGACAGGCGGCGCCTACATCCCTGAACCGTGATGTGCTCAGCAATGCAGGTAGCGGCCAGCTGCAGCGGAGTACGCACCATTGTGGCCCTCAGGAAGGGTAGAAGGAAGGCTTCCCTGGCATGGGCTGGACACTGCTGGCTTACGTCAAGGGCTGAGAAATCCTGCTGCAGCGGGTGAGAAAGAACTGCAGTCCCTCTTGCCCTTGTCTGGTGGCCCTTGCACTCCACGGCTTCCTCTGTGCGTTGCAGCCCTTGACCTCCCACCTCGGAGCTCAGCACAGCAGCTCAGATGAACCCTTCTACACAGCTCGCACCTGCAAGGCAGCAGTGCTGGCAAGCCCCTATGAAAACCTCCCTTCTGCGCTCCTAGCCCTGCCCTTCCCCAGCGGTGCCTAGGCCCTGGTTTTACAGGTCTGAGTGATTTAGTTATGCAGCCCTGAATCCACGGCCACATGAATCTACGCCTCGGGCCCCTCTGTCTATTGGTCTCTGCTGGCAGCTCCTTCTGCCTGAAGGACTACGGCCTCTTGCAGCAAATGCCTGAGCCAGATTCACCCCAGGCCCCCAGCGGTTCCAGGTGGATATCGCTGAGCTACCTTCCCTGGGGCAACAGTGTGTTGCTGTTTCTCACCACCCACACCTTGGAGAAGCTGGAAATCCTACATGGAGAGAAAAGTGCAAAAGATTAATATTGCATCAAGGAACAGAACAGGCACATTTCTTTGTTCCAGTGATATTTACCTACACAAATGCTAGGTTATAAAAGTCAGTATTTGTACAGGTTGCATTAGGAATCAGGCACCTACATATCTTTAAAGGTCTTGTCCAAAATGCACAGGAAAACTTAAGTGCTATGACAAGTTTGTACTTTCTTTGCACTTTTTATGAAAAGTTCTCAAAATGCTCTGGATGAACTGCACGTCCAGCCTGTGCCCATCTTACAGACAAACGGGTCCTGACAGGCTAGTCCAACACTTAGCTGAGCAAATCAGCGTTAGAAATACTAAGGAGCCTTGACTCTTAGGTTTTACTCATATCTTCCTCCCCTGTGAATCAAAGGAAAATAACATGCATCAGCTTATTTATGAATCATATCCTCCAAAAGCCTGCCACTATTATGTGACGGTATCTTAGCTAGAAGAAGAGCAGGTCTTCCCCTCTCAGCCATCCTTACCCTTCCCATAAACTATTACTCCTTTCAGCTCAGGCAGCAAATTACTATTTGAGGTTGAGACAGCCCAGGAGTATGTACAGATACTGCTGCATCGCTGGCACGTATGGGCTCTCATTTGATCATGGGCTAGGCAGCTGCGTTCTTACACTATCGGAGGATTCAGCACCTCCGTTACCGCTGTTATCCCGTCCTGAGGTTCCAGGGCACGTGGAAGATCCCAGCCCGCGTGACGCTAGCTAGCGAGATAACTGGAGTCACTGCTTCAGCTTTACTATAGCTGTCACTTCCCTGCTGGACGGCCTCACTATTCCTTCTGCCCACTGCCTGGCCAGTGCTGCACGGGGCTCCTTGCAGTTAAACACTTTTGGACAGAAGGTTAAAGTGATGGTAACCAAAAACCTGCAGAAACAGAAAGGCTTGTTGCTGCCACTGCGCTGAGGGGCACTGAGCATGTTCCTTCAGAGTTGTCACTGGGAAAAAATACCTTGAAAGCATTAGGAGCTAATTTAATCTGGTGCCTGTCATTTCTGCTGCCACCATTCCCAGGTATGGGGGAATTTCTCTGCCTTACGTGCAGTTTCTACAGCCTGCGCTCAGGAATCCAGCCTTATGCACAAGCACATGTGATCAGCGGGGAAGGAGGCAGAGGAGGAAGCACAGCCCAGAACAGACATTGCTAACATACCCCTGTCAAAAGTGGAACAGGAAAGGAAAGCAATTTGGTCTCCCGTTTGTGAGCAGAGAAAGCAAGGCCACCGCGTCGGGCTTCCTTGCCGGTTACCCTGCAGACAGGCAGGCTGCAACCGCCAATCGCAAGCCAGAGAAACCGAGCTCGAGCGAGAAACATTCCCGATCCCTGCACTGGGGCCACGTCGTTCACAGGCACACGGAACGCAGTCCTGCTGCAGGCAAGGGGGAAGAGATGCAGCAAGCTTAGAGGAGATGCACTGTGCTCGGAAAACAGTCAGAAAACCACGGATTTAAAAACATTACCGATAAACGTTCAGAAAGGCTCTTTGCTGGGGTGGGTACTGGGCTGGGCCAGCATGGTGTGCAGCTGCCTGGGGCGGCGGGGCTATTTCGGGCCTGCAATGCAATCCACGCGGGGTTTATTTTAGCACCTTGGAGAACTCCCAGCCGGACAGATTCCGGCACGCTCCACGCTCCGCGTCCGCCCGGGCCCGCACCGTCTCCCAGCCCCGCCAGCCCTTCGCCAGCAGCATCCCCCGCCTGCCCTGCCTCCCCCGAGTGCCCGTGGTGCTGCAATCCCCTGGGCACGGGGCCTGAGGGCTCCCGGCCAGAATTCCCTGCATAGCTGCCGCGGTGCACGGCCTCAGCTGCCAGCGCCAGCCCCACGCACCGCACCGGAGACGCAGGCAAGCGGGAAGCAACAGCAACGTCCCTTTTCCCTGCGAATCACCGACACCTTTGGAGTGTCCGAGCCTCCAGCAGCAGCTAGCCAAGAAACAGCAGCAGCAGCAGCAAACACTGGCAGCCAAAGTGCTTACAAGCAAAGCCTGCGGTTTTCCTGGATGAGATTTTTTTTAGGGGCAGAAAGGAAAACTCTGCCAAAATAAGCTATCATATTCTGCAATATTAATGGCAAACATGCGGCAACGCTAGTCAGGCCTGTTAGCACGGCTTATCATAGCCTTTGGAGGGTTATTTTTGTTTGTTGTTGCTTACATGAAGAAAGGGAGACCCTGCATTTCACTCAACCTGGAAAATGGGCGGAAAGGGCATTAAGGCACAACGTATGGGCCATGCTTCCAGGGGGGAGTAAGAGCAGGCATGGAGCCTGGTAGTGTTGTGGTGACACATGGACAGCTACACCCAATGAGTGGCAGAAGGGAACGCAACTCAGCGTCAACAGATACTCCTAATTGCTACTTATCACAGCTCGGCCCCAAAAGTCAACCTCCAGCAATTTTTTCAGAGCGCTCCACGCTCCTGGGCACGAGAACCACCCTGTGCACAGCGTACTGCAGCCACTCGTGGAGTGGAACAGGCTAATTCCTTAATCATACACAACAGCGCCATGGGACAGGCACGGCCAAAAAACAAAGAAAACTCCAGCTGAAGAGGAAAAGCTGATTTAATTAGAATAAGGTGATGCAACTTCCTAGCTGACCAGAACACCGTGAATAGCCTGATATGTTCAAGCAAGACCCGGCTGAAGCTTCAGTGAAACTAGGTTCTCATAACATGCTGTTTCACAAAATTCATAGTGCTCTGAGAAACTGTGACTAGCTTGTTTGAAAAGCGTGAAAGAGTCTTGGAAATGTCAAAGTGTTTCAGCACCTTCTGGAGGTTGCTGAAGCAACTGGATTTTTCATTTGGAGATGCTCATTTCTTTCTTTTTAGTACTGTGTTATAGTAAGTTGCTTGTTTGTAACTTGAGCGCGTTTGTAGTTTTCATATTTGTTGCAGGGCTGGTAACAGTAATTGGGCCCTCACGGAGACGTTTGTGAAGTTTAAAGCAGATAAACATTTAGCCAATGCTTTGAGAAAGGTAGAGAACAAAAATATAACAATATACTATGTTGCCTCCACCCTCTCCTGCTTATTTCCTCAGAAATCTCCCATCCGGAGACTACATCTCTACCTAATTGGCTTAACTTGACAGTTACACAGGCTAAAAGGGGATGGTTGCAAAATGTAGAAGGTTGCATCCTCTCTTAGTCAGGCTGAAGCTCATTGCTGCCAAGAGAGGAGCATAGAGAGTTTAAAGTCCAGTCACGATAGGAGAGAACTTATCACCATTCCTGCTCGATCAAGGGTTGCTCTCTGCTCCTTGTCATCCCTTCGTCCTGGAATCAGGGTAAAGTGCCCTGCGGTGCCATTCCTCACTCCCAGCAACCTGCTGGCCAAGGAAATCTTCCCAGTGCTTTCTGCTCCGCCATATGCTATGCACCTGGGATTCCCAGTAGTGCTCTACTGCACAAAAAGGCAAAGGGAGGAAGCAAAACTATCTCAACATCTCACCAGTGTGGAGGCTCTTCATGCTCCTGGCCACAGTAAGATGAGGAGGGAAGGAGGGGACAAAGCTGCAAGACAGGAACGGGGAAAAACAAGTCCCAGACAGACGGTGACTTGCGCTGGTAGGGCTGAGCACTAGGGAGGTGCAAACTCCCACGCGCTGAGGTCCTAGATCCAGCAGGATCAGCAAGGAGAGAATTTGCCTCCCGTTCTCCTGTGATATTCATGTTTCAAGATCACCTGGTACCTCCAGCCTTTCACATCTGTTGGAAGGCAGACAACCTGCGCATGGGTGCTGTAAAACACCAGGCACTATGTGAACCAATCAAGGTCACTATGACGGTGGGGCAGGAAGGAATAAAAGACACAAAAGAAAGCTAAGGTGGATGCGCACACCCAGAGCTGCGCCTAATGCTCAACGTACAGCAGCTATTACCGAAAATGTGATGATCACAGGCAGCTCACATGGTGCTGAGCTTCCTTGAAAATCAGATCCTTGGCCAGCTGATAGCCAGAAGGAACAGCCAGTAACATTACTAGTAAGCCTGTCTGTAACAGAAGTTTACAACTTTCCCACAGGCCATCGCTGCCTCAGATGCTTCTTGTTGTCCATCTACTCCAGCTACTCCTTAGTGCCTATGCTGCTATGGAGAGTGTTATATTTCTAGTCGCTTGAATCACAGCCCACCCAGGACTAAAGGGTTTTGCAAGCAAGGAGAGCATCCCTTTACTGGATCTACCAACCAAGCTCCAGCCAGGAGAGAAAAATCTCAATTTGCATAACCAAGAAAAAATACATTGCATTTAAGCTAAAAGAAAAACAACTGATTTTTACTTCAAAAAAAACTACATTACCCACAATTCATAGATATGTGGGAGGAAATGCTGTTTTTGCAAAGGAGGTTTAGCTCCAACAGCTGCAGTTTAAAAGAGAAATACAGGGGGAGGGATGGGACTGAGAGAAGGAGGGAGGAAAGAGAGGCAGGGGGGGGGGGGGGGATTGAGACCTGCTGCTAATCCTGCAATTGGCCTGGGCTGGGGGCAGGCTCGGAGGAGAAGCTGTCATGCGGGGATCGCTCGCGGGGCAGCCCGCAGGAGCGGCCGGGCT